CAGAACTTTAATACCTTTATAATACATTGCATCTTTTGCATATAAGCAACAAATTAGTGCTGCTTTCAATTGCTAGGAGCACACTGCCAACAATTATGAGGACCCGTTTCCAAATTTCATACTATTAGCTTATATTATTACAGTTTGAGTCCGTACCACATTATGCTTGGATTATTATGTGCAAACATCATCAGTGTTTTAGCATTATGCAGTGAACAAGTAATTTTGGTTACTAACTTCAATGCTCATTTTTTACTTCAACGTCCAGTTGCCTTAAGAGTTTAATGTCTTCAAGGCAAAGATCCTATTGTTTTGAGGAATACCATGTACACTTGCAGCTCCATTTATGTTACAAATGACAATAAAATATATATTGCACAGATAAGACTAGTAGCTTATTTAATAAGATACATGGCATTACATGTCCTAATACCAGAGTTTTGAACTGGATCATGCTTAATTATGGCTAATGAATTCTTGGGAAATTTTAGTATCAAAAATCATAGCATTATTTTCATTTCTCAATGAATATGTTAACTATGAAAAAGTGAAACAAAAGGACTGGTAGAAGCCTTAATGATTCTAAGAGTATATTCAATTGCCAGTATATATCCATCTATCCAATTTGCAGCTTTGAGATGGTAAAAACTTTGAAGTATACATACAAGGCAGAAAATTTGGCTGCTTAACTAATTCCTTACTTAAATAATTAATGCAAAATTAAACTAATAATTTTATATACAATGAATTAAAATATTTAAGTCTGACATAGTATTGTGTATATATACATATATATGTATATGTACACACACATACTCAAATCTTATCAGACCAAAAAAGAAATCATTTAATCCTAATGGATATAAATATTTTTAAAATGAAGGTTTTAAGAGAGAGCATACACTCATAGCAATAGTGATAGGAATAATCAAATTTTGTAATATTCACAGCTCCAGTTTGCCAAAATCTGACAGGTTGATTATTAATAGGCACTATGATGGGCAGCAATAACAATCAGTAGTACAGTAATTCAAGTGCACATCACTCCTTCATAAACGAAAAACTATTTTTTTTAGCAAGCCTACAAAGTTATGTTATTTTACAGTTTAAAAATCCTTGCTACTTTTATTGTCTCAACACCCACCATGTGCTATTAACTTTAGTTATTAACATCATCTTCTAACCTTCAGTTGTTCCATAGTGATCCAGATGATCCACAATTATAATAAACTGAGATTCCTCATACTACTTGAGGAAATGTGAAATATAATCTGCAAACCAATACCAGTATATATGTCTGAGTTACTGATCGCTTGTTCTTATGTGACATAAACCAATAAAATTAATTTTCTCAATTCATACCTTAAAGTTTTCTTAGAAACTTAAATGCATTTGGAGACAAAGTCTGAAGGAAAAAACTTAAATAATTTTGAGTTATAGCTTATCAAAGAGCTACATTCTGACCTCAATCCATGCAGCCAGCTCTCATCAATGAGAGCTATATTTGGGGGTTGAAATCAGTGTTCTGGCTCTTAGAACATGATTATATGAACTTACTATGTGGGAGGTGAATAAAGCCAAGATAAAAGACAATTTCATTCAGAATAAAATGCAGCTTAACAGATGAAATTTCAGTTAATACAGGTTGGGTTGGTACACGTATACACTATATCCACTTGTTTAAAAATTGCTTAGGTGTTGAAAAATTGATGTGGCACTTTCTGGAAAGTAATTTTTAATACAGATAAAGGGATGAGTCTTGTGTAAAGTAAACCTCTTTTAAGTACCTTAAAGAGCACCTTGGAAAATGCCTGAATTTTCCTTTCAAATATGTTTACAACGAATCTAATTTTCAAATAATATTTTCCCAGGAAAAAAAAATTGTATTCTAAAGTCTTTTTAGGAAGAATATTTTTACTTCCCCTTTTGGAATTAAAACACCTGTAAAAGTCTGGTTTATACTGGAAGCTTGACGTGGTTTTAAGGGTGGCAACTGCAAAAGCACTACTAAAGTATATTATTACAGATATAGTTTTATATTAGGTAACTGGTGACCTGAAGTAGTTAAACAAAACTCATAAAATATAATACCTTGAATTCATGACATATTTTAGGGATAAACCTATCACAATCTTCAAACTAGCACGAAATGCTAAAACACCAAAATTTCCATAGCAAAGCCACTGGATGAAGCCTCCCACTCAATTGTAATGTAAATGAAATTCCTGAACTGTTGGAAAATCAATACAACTATATGGTGCAACAAACAGAAGTGAAGATAAGATTTTAACTAGCTTAGGATACCCAATTAAAATGCTCCCATGGCTTTGATATGGCAACTGTAAACTGTAGGGTTACCACAAAATTTGAAAATTATAGAATACTCTAGTTAATTCTTAAGGAATATTAAAGGTTTAATTATCTAATAAGATTTGATCCTTTAATGGTACTGTTCAATATTATTATCCAATGGACAATATATTTCTATTTTTTCTTTTATAAATAAATATAATGATGATACTTGATATAAAGTTTCTGTTTCTGTGGTAACTGTCCTACAGGTAAGCTTAGCAGTTTTTAATAATATAGGAATGGAATACTGTTTTGGAAATTTGTTAAATAGAAATTCACACTTCCATAATAAGTATATGTATCTTTTTTTCAGGATTATGTCATAGTGCAATATAAATCTTAGTTATGATATTTAGAAGGTCAGAATGTCACATTTTGTGCTGATTTGCATACTTCAATAGTCTGGAGCAGTTGAAGCAGCTAAACTATTTAGCTCTGGGAAGGTTAGAATTCCCATAAGAATTATAGTGATCTATGTATAACATAACATGAAAATCAGACTTCTTGAAGTATAAACTACTAGAGGTATTACTAATAACAAAGGGCCAAAAAAGAGGAAAAACTTCTTCAAATGATTATGGATCAGTACTTTTAGCCAATTTATGATTTTAAATTTTGCCTGATGGAGTTCAATTTCACTCTAGTCGAGGCATTCTTGTTCTTCACCACTGGCCCTTCTGCCATCCATTCTCTTTTCTTTATGGCTGTTGCAAATTTTCCTCATCTCTTCTTCATACTTGATAAAATTCTCCCCAAACCTTGTCCAAGCTTTGAATGGAACAGTAATAGTATTACGGTAAGGTGGCCTCACCTCACTTACCTTCAGGAAAATTCCATATTTATTAGAGCCCACATCAAAGTAGAACCTTTTATTGTCCACTCTGAAAGAAGTCCCCTCTGGGAGTTCAAGTGGGTCATCATCTCCACCTCTTCGTTCTTCTATGTCCCCTTCGCCATAGTCTTCAATCAGCTGAACCAAGGCATCACGAAACTCAATCATTCCTTGTGCTGGGAGGACAATAGTCTGTTCTTGGCCCAAACTGTGGCCAAAATAACCTATCATGCCAGTTCCCCGCATCATGGTTTGTCTAATTCTTAGGAAGCGACCCCGCTGATTTTCCTTTAGGTCTAGGTAATATTTCCTATTGTCTCTCTCTATATAGTCTGTTTTGAGGACACTGTGAGTATGCTCTTCAGACCCAACGGAGACTGGCGGGGAGGGTGCTGAGTGCTTCTGCCTCCTCCTGGAACCTTGCTCTTTGCTGTGGCCATGCTCTTGCCTGTGGCCTTTCAGGCCCAGGTGGGCGTAATGCTCGATGAAGTCCCCTAAACAGTCCTTCAGCTCCGCTGCTACAGACAAGGATAGGGTCAGTTTACTCTTTCTGATATTGTCCTGCCGGCCTCTCCCTATCCAGACTTCGGCTATCTTTAGGAACCGGCCCCGGGAGCTTTGCTTCACGTCTAGGTAAAACCTCTTTTTTTGGATGTCCACTCGTTTGGAGGCCAGCTCCTGGATTTCGGTTGTGCCCCCAGCCTGATTAGGGGTGGCTGAAGCAGCGTAGTGGGGGTAGTGAGAGTGTTGGGCCTGGGGATACAGTCTACTCTTGCTTAGGCCAGAGCCCCCTATATTCTTGCCTCCACGGCCGCGGCCGCCGCCGCCTCCCCTCCGCCTGGCTCTTTCCATCTTCAGCTGCAAGTGACAAACAGACACACGGGGTGGGGTGGGGGAGGGGTGTTGAGAACAATCGCAGACGCCCCTCAGCCTGCAGTGCTCCCGCCCGGGACCCCCACATCCGCTAGAAGCCCATGGCTCTGGCCTGTACCCGACCGTCGTCGTCGTCGGCGGCGACGGCGGCTCCCGGCTCTGCACAGGGTACACAGCATCCCTCCGCCACCCTCGGGCCTCCTATTCCCGCACGCAGCCGGGCCGCCCACCTCAGGCTCCGCAGCCCTGGGGTCCCCAGTCAGCAGGCACTCACATCATCTCTGCCATCATCGCCGCCGCCGATGCCCTTCACGACCGCCGCCGCCGCCGCCAGCTCTCGGCCCCTCTGCTGCAGCCGCCGCAGCCGCCGCCCCCCGCCTCCTCCCCCGCCGCTGCCCGCACTGCCCCCCGCCGGAGCAGCGGGGCAGGGGCATTGCCTGCGGCGCCCACCGCCGCCGCCGCCCCTTCTGCGGCCGCTGCCTCTATTCGGGCACCGGCCCGACACCAGTGGGGAGGGGAGGGAGGGGGCGGGGAGGCTGACGGCGGGGGGCGGGGGGTGGACCCCGCCTCCCCGGTACAGCCAGCTGAAGGGACGAAGGGGTCTGGAGCCGTCCCTCGGGACTCGCCCTGACAGAAGCCCAGCGCGTGGGGATGGAGCGTGCGTGTGAGGTGACTAGACAGGTGTGAAGATGGGAATAAGGATAGGGTGGTAGGAGTGCTCAGACTTCCACGGATTCCGCCGGGATGTAGGACTCTGGCGGCTCACCGGCACCTGCACGGCGACTACATTTCCCGACGTGCTCAGCGGCACCCAACATTTGCGCATGCGTGCCACGGCGCGCCAGCCCCAGCGGAAAGGACTGTGGTGGGAGGGCTACAACGCCGCGCGAGCTCTGTCATTCGGGGGCGGGGCCAGGGAAAAGACGGTGTCCCAGAGCTGATGTGTACGGTGCGCGCCAGTGAAACTCCCTTGTGTACTCTGCAGGGCCGGAGTAAATTTGGTTGATTTGGTGCCTAGCCTGGATGCCCGGGTTACAGGCCTTGGTGTTGTGGCGTTCCACAAAACTTCCAGCTGGAGAATTCCCGTTGAACTGGCTCTTCTCAGGGTAACGTACCCTCGCCACTCCTGCTTCCCTTAGCTTCCCACCCCGGGGGATGCCATTTTAAGCTTTTCCGACACTTGGAGGTGTTCAGACCTATGGTGCAGGTCCCTGCGCTGTTTAGGAGATTCGTAGAAATGGACTGTCTCTTTTTCCTGTTCCCTCCGGGAAGAGGACCACAGACCGCGGGTAGGCCTTCTCGGAGTTTTATCAGTCTGTAGCTGTGCTTCCACGCCCCTTCCGCCCCTTGCGTGTGTGACTGGTTGTCTATTGGTTGGAACTATCTTTCATTTCTGATCTTTTGCTATTCCTATAATCGAGACACTCCATGTTTACCGAACAAAAGTCTAGGGAAAAAACCTGGTATCTGTGGTTTAGCAAGTTGTGTTGGGTTTCTTCAGTCTATATTCAGTTTTCTTCTGGTTGGGTCTGACTTGTTCTCTGGATAGATTTGATATGTAAAGATATTACTTCCTGTTAGAGATGGCAATAAAATTTTTAGGGTGTTAGTTTAGACTTCATATGGTTTACTGACCATATAAAGGATGTTGGAGTTCCAGATGGGTAGGGCAGTTCAGATTTCCCTGACATAGTTGTCTCCATTTATTTAACTTTCCGTGCTGGGGATTGAACCCAGGGTCTCCCACTGAACTATATCCCCAGCCCTGTTGGTTTTTGCGATGATTGGGAATCGAACCTAGGACACTGCCCATGCTAGGCAAGTCCTCTACCACTGAGCTGTATCACCAGCCGTCCCTGTGTTAATGCAACAAATACTTAACAGAGATACCAACAATGTATAAAGCAGAAAAATCTCTTTGCTATTAGTGCTTACGTTTTAGTGCAAAGAGATATGCAAAAAGTAAAATGTGTAGTATGCTGGAAGGTGAAAATCCTATGGAGAATAATATAAGAAAGGAATGACGAGTATGGGTGGGATCTGTAATTTTACAATAATTGGTCTGGGAAAAACCTCACTGAGAAGCTAATTGAGTAAAGAGCTGAAAGAATTGAGAGATTGATTACCTTGTGACTATCTTATTTCCTGTGGAAATTTGACCCAGTGGACAAGTGGGGGATAGGACATAGATATAAATGGTTGTGATATTGATAGTTATGGTGATGATGGAAGTCCATAAATATCCAACTCAAATACCTTTAATTGATTTCTGTTTAACTCTGGAAAGTTAGATATTGAATTATATGTGGTTATATTACAACTCATAATTAACCCATAGGCCCTTTATGGATTTGTTTTTATCAAAGTATTGTTGTCGGAGTAGTAAGTAACTTAAACCATCTTTTTCTTTCTGTCTTCCTTTTTTTTCTTAACAGAATCTCACTATGTTGCCTAGGCTGGTCATGAACTCTTGTGCTCAAGTGATCCTCCTATTTTAGGCATGTGCTACTAATGCCTTGTTTTTTAATATCTTTGCTTGTCAGTTCAAAATCCTTCACTAAGGGTTTATTCTAATCCAGCTAGTGTAAAGTTTTTTTCCTGATTTTCTGTGCAGTCTGCTTCTTGGGCTGGTTTTTCCTTTTGGGGTTAATGGACTATTGTGAATAATGCATTCATGAGAAGTCAGGCAGAGAAGCAGGAGTACTCTATGACCTTGTAGTTTCATATCTAGGAACCTTTAGAAATAATAATAATAATAATAATGTCTAGAAACCCCCACATATGTACATGGTGTTCATTGAGGATTATTTATGGTAATTTTTTCAAGTATCCTGTCATCAGTAAGGAATAGTTAAATAAGTCATCATAGCTAAAGATAATGGAATTTTTAAAATTAAATTATTTATTTATTCTAATTTGTTATTCATGATGGCAGAATGCAATTCATATTACACATATAGAGCACAAGTTTTCAAGTCACTGATTGTACACAAAGTATTTTCACACCATTCGTGTCTTCATATATGTACTTAGGTTGATGATGTCTAACTCATTCTACAATCATTCCTTCCCCTTTACCCCCTCCTTTCCCCTCCTTCCCCTTTGCACTATCTAAAGTTCCATTCCTCCCATGCTCCCCCCTCCCCCCATCACCATTATGAGTCAGCATCCTCATATCAAAGAAAACATTAGGCCTTTGGTTTTGTGGGATTGGCTTGCTTCACTTAGCATTATATTCTCCAACTTCATCCAGTTACCTGCAAATGCCATGATTTTATTCTCTTTTATGCTGAGTAATGTTCCATTGTGTATATATGCCACATTTTTTAATCCATTCATCCACTGAAGGGCATCTAGGTTGGTTCCATAATTTAGCTATTGATATGGCTGTGTCCCTATACTATGCTGTTTTTAAGTCCTTTGGGTATACACCGAGGAGTGGGATAGCTGGGTCAAATGGTGGTTCCGTTCCAAGTTTTCTAAGGAATCTCCATACTGCTTTACATATTGGCTGCACCAATTTGCAGTCCCAACAGCAATGTATGATTGTGCCTTTTCCCCCATATCCTCGCCAACACTTATTATTGTTTGTATTCTTTTTTTTAATATTTATTTTTTAGGTGTAGATGGACACAACACAATGCCTTTATTTTTATGTGGTGCTAAGGATCGAACCCAGGTCCCGCCCGTGCTAGGTGAGTGCTCTACTGCTGAGCCACAATCCCAGCCCTATTGTTTGTATTCTTGATAGCTCCCCTTCTGACTGGAGTGAGATGAAATCTTAGAGAACTCTGTTTATCATAGCTAAAGATAATGGAATTTTATATTGTCTTAAGAGATCAGATTAAGAGGAGGTGTTAGGGCCAGGATGTATGTAGCTCAGTGATAGAAGCCCTGGGTTTTATCCCCAACATGGTTAAAAAAAATTGGTATTAGGTTTTAGGTTTTAGTTATCTTATCCTGTTAACAAACATGCTTTCATTGGAAAAACCAAAGTCAAGCTGACTTTAGCAATAAGAGGTTATTTGTTGGACTGAGGGTGTAGTAGCTCAGTGACAGAGTGTTTGCCTACACATGTGAGGCGTTGGGTTCAATCCTTAGCACCACATAAAAAATAAACAAATAAAATAAAGGCATATTGTCCATCTACAACTACTAAAAAACAAATTTAAAAAAGAGGTTATTTGTTGATGTCTTTAATAGATACATCCTGAGGTAGAGTGGCTTTCTGACAATTTTCTGGCCCTGTGCATTGACTTCTATGAAACCACCTTCAGGGTGATTTCTTGTATAGCTATAATAAGATGGCTAGCTTCATCAAACACTATAAAAGAAGGTAACTAGCCTCTTTTTCCTCCATGCATTCCTGTTTTTATTAAAACCATAAGACATGTATATTCTCAGGATTCTAAGTTGAAAAAGTGTGTTTACACTGCTTATTATTTATAGAGGCCTTTCATATTACTCCTCAGATTGCAAGAAAGATGTGGATGGAGGAGAGAGGGTGGAAAGGGAGAGGGGAAAGAGAGGGTGGGGAGGGAAAGGGAAATAGTATGGGGACAGAATGGGAATGAGAGAATGAATTTTGTGCATGTTGAGAGAAGCAAATGAACTTTAGAATATTGTACCCCACTCTTAACATATCTGACCTCAGTGCTATTCTGTTCCCTGTAGGGGCCCTTATTAACTGATATGTATCCTCCTGGATTGTTTTTACATTTACATATACAGTCAGCCCTCTGAATCCATGGGTTATCATCATCATCAGTAGATTCAGCCTATCTTGGATCAAAAATATTCAGAAAAAAATTGTGTCTGTACTGAGCCATTTTTTTCCTGTCATTATTTCCTTAACAATATAGTATAACAACTACGTGGCATTTACATCGTATTAGGTATTATAAGTCATCTAGAGATATAATATATATAGGCTATATTGCAAATACACCACCATTTTATATGGGATTTGAGTATCTACTCATTTTGGTATGTGGGGGGTGGTCCTGGAACTAATCGCCCATAAGTACTGAGGGGCAACTATACACAGAATTTCATCTTATATTAAAATTTAAATGGTAACTATTGCTGACAGTTTTTCCCTTTTCACTTAGCACATATCATAGAGAACTTGTTAATACATAGTTCTGTTTTCTTTTACTGTCTGCTTAGTTTGCTATATGTGGATGTGTCATTGTTTAGCTATTAATTTACTAATTGCTTTCAGTATTTTTGCTATTATAAATAGTAATGAGCAACCTTTACTTTTTTGTGTATATATGCCAGTATTTCCTAGCGTAGATGTAGTTGCTAATTTGAAGGTTATGCAGATTTAACTTTTGGTGTCTTCTACAAAACATCTCTCAAAATGGTAGGACTAGTTTTTTGCTCTCTTGCAAATACTGTATATGATCAGTTTTTTAAATTTTTGCCAATAATGGGATAGCCAGTTGTGTTGACCCCATTTATTGAACAGTTTGAACAGTGATTAGAATGCTTCCTTTATCCTATGTCAAGATTCCATATTTACCAGATCTATTTCTGGAGATGGTATGGTATGTTGTATTTATTTATTTAGTACGTATTTTTAAGGTATACAATATTAAGTTTTGAAATACGTGGAATGAAATGATTACTAATGGTTAAGCAAACTAATATCCATCAGCTTCTGCAGTTACCTTTTATTTTCTTTATTTGGTAAGAGCATCTAAAATCTACTCACTTCATAAAACTTCAGTGTACTATGTAATGTACATGAAAACTGTAGTTTTCATGTTATATCTTAGATCTTTAGACTTATTTATTTTTTGTAACTAAGTTTGTACCCTTTGACCTTCCTTCTTCTCTTTTCCTTCCTCTCCTTACTCTAGTAGTCAGGGTCTAATGTTTGTTTCTAAGTATTTGAACTTTCTAAAGATTCTATATTTAAGTGAGATCATGCCATGTTTTTCCTTTTGATTCTGACTTATTTCTTACTTATGTTAAATAGTATTCTCCAGGTATATACATATTGTTACAAATGGCAGTATTTCTATCTTATTGAAGTCTGAATAATATTCTATTTTGTGTGTGTGTGTGTGTGTGTGTGTGTGTGTGTATCACAATTTCT